GGGGGGGGGGGGGGGGGGGTTATGTTGCGTCATGCCACCTATACGGTAATCGGTGCCGTTGGGATGCCGAACGAAACTGCCTGGTGCACGGATGGACCAGGGGGAGGAAAGGACTTTACCTTGATGTCGAGGGAGACACCCTTGAGGACGAGGTCAAGCCCCGGGCGGTATCGCATCTTGATCCCCGAGAGCTTCACCGCTCCGGATTCGGGCCACCCCTATGCGTGCGCGCGCGCGTCGTTGTCGGTTTTCCAGCAGGGCACGAAAAAAATAAAACGACACGACAGACGGACACAAACGAAGAATGCCAACTGTGAGGAAACGCTCTCCTGCTTCTTGCGGAGGAGGAGGAGGTGCATACAGTACATAACTGGGCTGCTACAAGGTGAGATGCTTTGCCACCCTTTCTTTTTTTCGCCCCGCCGATGTATCTGGCGATCACCTGTTCCATCACATGGGCGTACTAAATAACCGTGGCGAATAAATGAGGATAAGAGGCGCCCACTTTGTGTACATGTATAGAAGAACAAATTCAAATGTTCTCTCGTATTTTTGTTGTTGGTTTTTTCCGTTCAGGTACGTGTATATGTACAGCCGAGGAAAGCACACCTAATCTAAACAGCAGCACTAAATAAACACTCCATACAAGCATTTTTTCGTTCTCCCAGATATATACATTTCTTCCGTTCAGTAAGGCATGTACAGCTGGCAAGAGTGCCTACCGGTTCTTGACGCGAAAACAGCAACAACACACCTGAGGGGGGCGGTAGTCGTCCACGATGGGGGGTGCCTCAGGGGTTAAGTCGGCGTACTCCTGGACGCGCTCCACGGCGGTGATGCGAGCCTCCATTTCGCACCCCATCCTCACCGTCCACGTCAGGTAGCCGGTCACCTTTGTCATCGTTGTTGTTTTGTTTTGCATATCATGATTTCTCTTCGTGTTCAAAAACCCTTTCCCGCGTCTGCTCAGTAACATTCGCTTTCAATATTTTCTACCGATAAACAATTGCGTTGGCAACAAAAAAACAATTCCAGCGCCTGCTCGGTATCACCATGGTATCTTTCTTTTAACGACTGCCACGGTCCAACTGACGCGGACGCGTTCCGCTGTAACATTTTGAACGAATATATATACATATATATAGCATCGTCACAGCAGAGGGAGAGGAGCACTTTGCAGGGTTGAGGGAAAGGGTTGGAGGCTCGAGACGGACGAGACAATCACGAACGACAACAACAACAACGAAAACAAGAAGGAAAAACATCAGCACGAAAAAGGCAATAAGATATCACCACGCCGCGCGCCCCACACCTGCTGGGTGTAGGTGAGGACGAGGCCGGCGACGCCTCCCTTGATGGCGATGCCCCCGGAGCCCTTGCTGAACACGATCAGCAGAGCCGCTGCAAGGATCATGGTGGTGCCCATGGCCTCCAGCCTGATACCCAACCACCTGGACCAAGCACACGCGTACACGGAAGCACGACGATCAACAACGCCGATCACAGAAACCATCCTGGTCCCGGATTTGTGTGCGTCGGCAACACTGCAGACATCATCGATCACCATCACCAACAACAATGACAAAGGTGTCGGTCACGCGGCACACGACGAAAAAAAAAAGAGCTCAAGAGCTTGCGTACAAAGCAGGAGTGGGGTGACAACGGCTGGGACGGGAGAGGGGTCGAAGTGTGACGCCGTTGTATATTGAGCAGATAACACTTAAATACTGAGCACAGATGCGCATTTTTTTCTTTTTTGGTTTTTCGAGGTTCGATGGGCTCGTCGAATCAAAAACAAGTTGTCAGCTGTTGAGCTTGGGAAACGTCGCACAGCAGCTGGAAGCAAGATGTGAGTTGATCCTGCTGCCTGCCTGTTTCTTTCATCTTACATCACCCCTTGACGACGCTGCTGTGCTTTCATGAGCACGGTCCCGAACGGACCGCCTACGCGGGATTTTAAGAGATTTTAAGATTATCTAGATAAAGAACAGGGCGGGGGCACGCAGACCCTATCCCTAACCCTAACCCTAACCCCAAAGCACGGATTGAATACTTTATCCCATATGTTTGCTTAATCGATTTTGCTGCGTAGACTAACGTCCCGAAGGGACAACCAAATAACTACCCTGTCAGCGAAGAGTCTCTGTCCTGCTGTAGTCGAGCAACGAGGCACACATGCCTAGGTACGGTACGCTACGCCGCCAGGAGTTCTCCTCAAGGAGCAGGTACTTGCGGACGACTGAAAGAGTACGGCATGGTCTTCTCTCGTCTCCAACTCATGCGGGTACATGCGCACGCGCACGCCGCCGAGAGGCTCTTCTCGGGCAACAGGCAAGACCTCGCGGACGTGAAAAAAAGAAAGTATGGTGTGGTCTTGCCTGGTCTCCAACAACTCACCGGTTGGACACGTGCATGAGGAAGAAGGCCGTGGAGCTGTTGCTCAGGCGAGCATTGTTGCGGTTGATAAACTCGCCCTGCCAAAAAAAAGAACGAACGTGCATCGTAGAGAAGAGTTGCTGTTGTTGATGTTGTTGCCTTCCCTCTATAAAAACCGTTCCGTTCTCTCTCTACCCAGTACCTTCTTCTGTCCGTACTGATCCAACACTTGACGCGGTCGATACCCGTGGTCACTTGGAGTTACGGTTAGGGTTAGGATTAGGGTTAAGTGTGCATCACAAAAAGCAAGGAAAAGAAAGCTTACAACAAGGGGTACTGTCCTTCCTGAGAAGGCGTTTACGGTTTGGAGTTTCTATCATGAATCACGGGGGGGGGGGGGGTGTACTCATAGTCGTGCATGCCGTAGTCGTTAGACCATTGACCTCGCATCCCTACAAAGCCGGGACGGAGCACGCCGGGTTCTCACCGGACCAGGCTCTCACATCACCAAGCGCGAAGCGCCGTGAGGTATTCGGCCAGTCGCATGAAGGGTGCGCTGCATCCCGCTAAGGGTTTTCGGCATCTTGTGCTTACTTCCTTGCGTACGGATGACAGCTGCGTATGACTTGATTTATTTTCTGGTGCTTCCACTTCCAGAGACAGTTGTAAGCACTGTGTAACTGCCTCGAGGGTGCTTGACCATTTTAACACAACGTGGTGCGATCATCCCCCTTGCGGGGAGTGAGGCGTGTCCACCCCGCACAACATGATCCATTCGACCACCATTATGGTTACCGCCAAAAAAAACACGGAGGTAAAAAAAAAAAACGGTCACCTGGTTGCCGAGCTCACGAAGTGAATTGGCTTGTTTTACAACGTCGTTGCCAAGCGACGAAAACCCAACCCCGATGGTAAACACCGGGGGGGACGGGGGCGGGCAGAATGCTGCGTAGATAAAAAGTAGGCTACTCAAGAAAAAAAATAAAAATCCCTCCAAGTCTAGCATCTTAGCAACAGAGCGGCCAACCAACAGGAATCAGCGTTAGATACGTGCGACAACTGGCTCACCAATTTTGGTGCTCGTTTTGGCCAAGTAACCAAGAACACAAAACGCCTGCTGGGCACCCGCTATGTAGAGAGAACCTTCTCGCCAGCCAACGTTTCGCTGCAAGCATGCAAACGCACCGCTAAAGCTGTTGCAGCATACATACATTTCACACCAAGTTGCGAGTCGAAACAAAACAGCAGTTGCACACACGGCAGAAGAAAAAATAAAAGTATACAAATACACGAAGTAAATATAAATTCAATTGCCATACCTCCTGGTTGTACGCCCTAACCGTGGAGACGCCGTTAAGGGTTTCGGAGAACTGCGCGAAAATGGGAGATCGCGAAACGCTCTCAAGGCGTTGCAGGTCGCGGTTCACCGGTCGGTAGAGCATCTGGTACAGTAACGGCAATAGCAGCCCGAACAAAAAGTGGTAAAACTACTGCCGTTGAAAAAGGTACCATGCTGGAATCTATGCATAGGAGCAACGTTTATCTCACTCACTACCGCGGCAGGGGGTTGATGAACGCGGCATGTGCGTACGAGATCAAGACAACCATTTTTCACGGGTTCAGATCATGGTAAAGACTACAGCCCTACACACCTAAGCGTGCACACCCTTAACCTTTGTACCAACCCCCGATCCCGGGGGACCCCAGCTTCCAGCCCCCCCGCCCCCCCCCCGCCCCCCGAAAAACGCCGCTTGGGGTGGGTTCTTGTACAAAAAAAGAAACGGGCATCCCAAACAACGAGCTCGTTTCGTACATGTTAGAGCCGCAGCACAAAGGAAAACACTCGATGCGAGGGAGACAGCGAGGAGACAAAGCAGGGCAAGACATTGTCGTGGTACTCGGTCCATTCGTACCGCTGTACCGCTGTACTGCTGTACTGCTGTACTGCTGTACTGCTGTACCTGGACTTTATAGTAGCAGAATCCGACAGGCAAGATGGCAACGGCGAACCACGGCAGCACGATGATGATGGTGATCATAACCCCGATCAGGACGGACATGGTGGCCACGAACTGCGTTCGTACGCACGCGTGCACGGAAAACGTTCATAATAATTTTGTCGATTGTCGGTGAGTCGTTGTTGTTGAATTCCCCCCCCCCACGTGGGCGCGTCCGGTCGAAAAAAAAAAAAACAGGAAGGAAGGAAGGTAGGAAGGGAAGGGAGAGAGGGACACAGACCGTCAGATGGATGACGAGAGCAGAAGACAAAAGCAAAGCAGCAAGCAGAATGGTCGACACCGTCAGATGGGCCACGCGAACAGAAAGACAGAGAAAAAGAACGAAGGGCGAGGGTCGGACACACTCTTCGGTAGACCAAAATATAATAGACCAACCACAAGTACGAGCTGAGGTTTCTGTACACACGGGTGTTGACAGAAACAGACGTGACCAAGACTGAAAAATACGCCCGGACAAAACAGTCCTCCCTTCCCCGGCGCCAAACAGTGAGTTGTCAGTCCATTCCTGTGAAGAACAGGGGCCCACCACAGCAGCCCCATGATACCGACCTCAGCTGCCTTTACCTGATGTAAGGCAACAGCTTTTCCCCCAACTTTGTTCTGATGACCTGCTTCGAAAAACATCTTTCCGGTAATCCGATGAAAGAATTCTTCTCTGTCGAGTATCCTCGAAACAGCGTCACCATATGTACACAGCGTCGAAACACATATCCCTCAAGCCCCTTGGACCAAAACAGAACAAACACAAAACACGGCAAACACCGCGAGCCAAAACATTCCACCCCACCGCGTGGACGGGTCGAGGGTGAACGGGGTGATAGTGACAACACGCAAAAGGAATGGAAGAGCTCGTCATAAGCGGGGGACGATAAATGGTCACAAAACAGGGACATGCTACACAATGCCAACAAGACACAAGGCAGTTACAGCTACGATGACGACGACGACACCACCAACAACAACGCACCTGCGGGATGTTGCGAGGCAGCAGCAGGTCGATCGAGTCCATGTCCTTGGTGAACCGGTTCAGCACACGCCCGACAGGGGTAGTGTCGAAGAACGACACCGGCGCGCGCATGACACCCTTCACGAGGACGGAGTGGAGGTGGCGGGAGGACCTGACGGCTTGCGTCGCGAACAGGAGCGCCCTGATAAGGTACAGGGCCACCACCGACACGCAGAGCCCGGCGTACACATGCTGGTACCACGACTCAGTCTGCTTTTTTTTTACGGGGGGGGCGGGGTTACGGGGTGCGTGTGTGGATGAAATGGAGGGGGGCGGGGGCGGGGGCGGCGCCGGGCGTGCTCGTGTTTTGCATGCCTTACTTGGTGGACCATTGACCACGAGAGGACGGAGCATAGTTCCCACAGGACAGGTGGGGTACTCGTTGGCTTGCCATGCAACGCGTTGGTCGACCGTTGGTTTGATTCACATGCTTGCACCTCTTGGGGACTAAACATTTTAGCACCGTTCCGAGAATTTGAAAAAGAAAAGACGGGCTCGGAGGGTGGAATGGCGGCCTTCTTTGCATACACCCAACCCATGGAGAACTGCGAGCGTCAGTCGGACATCGTACAGCTCGGCGAAGGGCTGTTCGGGCGGGGGCATGTTTGTCACTTGATTATTAAGGTGCCAAGAAACTGAAGCATATCAAAATCACAGAGAAACGCGCCACCAAGCCACGATGGAAATACCAACACAACGAAGAGCAAAATAAGAGAGAGAAGAGACAGAGAGAGACAGAGAGAGAGGGAGGGAAGAGAGGGAGAGGGAGAGGGAGAGGGAGAGGGAGAGAGAGAGAAAGAGAGAGAGAGAGAGAGACAGACAGACAGACAGACAGACAGAGAGGGAGCAGAAAAAAAATTACGTCAGACCATAAATAACATACTTACCGCTCCGTCCTCCAGGAACTTGTCGGACCAGTAGGACAGCCACCAGTCGAACACGTTCGTCACGCCCTGGGTGAGGACGCTGGCAATCACGAGCACGATTGGCAGGAACCAGCCACCGGACCCGTCCTTCAAGTAGATCTTGAACACCTGCCCAGGAAGAAAAAACAAACCGGCATGGTGTAGGGTGCCTGCTGCGTACTTCTCGTGCGTGATTGGTGTCTGTATGTGGTGGCTACTCGTACACGCTCCGGGTTCGTAAAAACCCATGCGCGTGTCTGATGCTCCAAGGTATACTGACAAAAAAAAGGGCCGATTTCCAAGCTGCGCCAAGACACCTCCACTTGCAACCAGACACAATTATGCAGTGTCGACAACTCCACTAGCAACCAAACACAAATGCAATATGTGTCCCGGCGCCCTCGCGCTCACAGACCACCAGGAGGGGCCGTCTCTCTCACCCTCAGGGCTACCGCGCCCTCCTCCTTCCCCTCCACCGTCTGCAGCGCCCCGCCGGCGTTGAAGGCTTCCTCAGCCACGGCGCTGGTAGTCTTGGCGGCCCTCTCCCCGTCAGAGTGCTGCCTGCTGTACTGCCTGCTGGCGTCAGAAGCCCGCATGCTGTCAGCGCCGCCGTCAGAATACTGCCTGCTGTACTGCCCGCTCGCATTGGAAGCCCGCATGCCGTCAGCGACGCCGTCGCCGGCCAAGCCAACGCTGTTGCTGTTGCTCTTGCGCCGGCGGCGCCTGTAGGACGCATTCGCCATCACGCCCATGAAGGCGGCGGCATTCTCGTCTGCTTCGGGAAAAGAGGGTACCAGAGGGGTGCATCAGTATTGCTTGTGTGTGTTGGGGTGTGTGCTCCACCCAAATGTTGCAGGCAGCAGGAGGTCTTGGTTCTCTTTCGACCATCGAGACACAAACATGTCTCGGCGGTAGGTAGTCCTAGCGGTGGTAGACAGATGACGACGCAAGATCCCTTTCACCACCATCTTCCACCACACAATCTTTGTGGTGACGGATCAATCAATCACAAGCCATAACCACCATCATTAGCGAGCGTGCTCAGGGTCCTGTTAGCCAAACGTCACCCCAGTTTTGCGAGGTTTCGAGTATATGTAGGCCGCGGCGGTTCAAACCTCTACTAAACCCCCCGCCCCCCAGCCACGCACCTTCCTCGTCGTCCTCGTCCTCGAACCCCGCCGTGTGGAGCGCCTCCATCAGCTGCCAGTCGGGGTGGCTCGCCGAGGAGGACGGTACCGGCGAGGATCCCCCCGCGAAACCCCCTCCCACCATCGTGGCAGATGCGTCGTGGACCGAGCGCGACAGGTGGTCCGCGCTGGTGTGTGTCGGGGTGATTCCGGTAAGGGGAGGGGTCAGATCATGGG